GACAACCATATGATCCAGAAATTCCACTTTGGGTATACACCCAAAAGAAACAAAACCATTATCACAAAGATATCTGCACTTCCATGTTCACTGAAGCATTATTCACAATAGCCAAGATATGGAAACAATGTTAAGTATTGGATGGATGAATGGATTAAAAAATATATGGTATATATACAGTAAAATATTATTTAACCACAAAAAGAAGAAAATTCTTCCATTTGCAACCACATGGATGACTTTGAAGGCATTATGCTAAGTGAAATAAATCAGAGAAAGACAATTACTATATGATCTCACTTATACATGGAATCTAAAAAATCCCGAATTTATAGAAACAGAGAGCAAATTGGTGATTGCCAGGGATGGGTGTGTATGTGGATGATGGCTGAAGGTGGTCAAAGGTCACAAATTTCCAGTTATAAGATGAATGAGTTCTGTGGATATAATATACAGCATGATTAGCTAATGATACTGTACTGTACATTTGAAAGTTGCTAAGAGTACATCTTAAAAGTTCTCATCACAAGAAAAGAAATTTTAACTATGTGAGGTGTTAGATGTATTAACTAACCTTACTGCAGTAATTATTTCTCACACACATACATCAAGTCATAATATTGTATATTTTAAACTTGCACAATGTTATATATCAATTATATCCTAATAAAGCTGGAAATATTTTAAAATAGAAAATAAAAAAAAATCAAACTAAGGAAATGTTTGTCATAGGCAGACATCTGAATTGGTCCCAAGGGGAAGAGTTCTATAGTCCTATAATTAGATCTCAGTCTTTTAGTGAGCCTATCCCTCTGGACTATGAACTTCCCAAGTGTTTCTTAATTTTTTCTTCCCAACTTAGTTGGAAGAAAACAGCTAGAATGAGCTGGAGATGGGTATTTTCCTTTCCCAAATAAATTAGTCTCTGATTTCCATCAGGTTAAACTCTGGTTGACTAGATTCTGGAGGGCAGCCCTTGTAGAGAAGAGCTGAGTGCTCTGAGTTACTTCAAAATGGTTCCTTTTCCCCTCCCTCCGCAGGAAGTTCCATGAAATTTTTCTCTGATATTTATTGTGGAAATCTCATCGAACTCCTAGCAGTAAAGCCCACGAAATCAAGGAGGCTGCCTATCAGTGGGTCCCCATAAATTTTTTTTAACTATCAGATTGTTGCCATTTTCTAATTGTTCAGTAAATTATGCAGCACATACAAATATCTCATGAGACTGTGTGCGCATAGTTTCATGAGTGGACATTTTACATCTAAGAGAGTGTGAAATGGGAAGCTTGGAGAGGATACTGAGTTGATCCATGAAATTAATGTTCTGAACAAAAAGCTTTGAGCCAGAGTTTATCATGATGATGTACGTTACAAAGGCACTTACCCTAATCTTAAGGCAGAGGTGGGTGGATGTATATTGCCATTGATTTTTTTTTTTGCACAATGTAAAATGTGAATTTGAGTCAATATCATGGATATTTAAGGTAGAGTGACAATAGCTAAGAGCTAAACTCATTTAAATGAAAACAAAATTCCAAAACAAAAACTATCACAAAAATGTCTCCACATAAGGAACATGCTAAAAAGAGTATTTCCATACATTTATTTGTAAGTAGCACTAATAAACATTTTTATGTATCCTATATAAACTCAGTCAAAACTGAAACATAGTGCATATAGTATATTGTTATCATTTATGATAGTTTCATATTGTACAATGTAGTCTCTGATAATCCAATTTCATATCCATTAATAATCTGTTTTTCCAAAGATAGAGAATGTCTTTTGGGATGCAGATTTGATGAAAGAATGTAAAATTATAAATTACACACTGAAATCACCACATTCAATTAGAGTATGATTTTTATAAATTTTACCAGTTTCACTTATGACTCCACCATTAAATATGAAATTTAACATCATCAACCAAAACGTGTTCCATATTCTAAATCTGTAATGAGCTTAGGCTCTTCAGGAATATAATTACTGACATCAATTGCTTGTAACTCTACATGTTTAAATTCTATTTTCACAATCAGTAGGTTATATGTCATCCAATGTCATCCCGAAACTGAAGCAATAATGGAAAAGTCAGAAGCATAACATGCTGATTTCCTTTTAAAACATGAAAGAGAGGAGAGAGAGAAAAGAATAAAAAAGATAAGGAGGGAAAGAAGATCTGAATATTGGAGACTAAAGAAGTGAGAGGTTTAGATGCATTTTAAATATATCATCACACTAGTTTCCATTATAAATCATTAAAATAACACCTCTCAGGTTCTCTTTGAAATAGCTTGGAATCTGCATGCCATCCATTTGTATTGTAGGTCTTTGATTGGATTATTTATAAGTCTGAAATGGCTTATAACAATTTATTTTCCATTTAAAAGCCAGCTATTTTTTCTATAATTTGGAGATAGAAATGGGTAAAAATAAATAAAAAAGACTTTTTCAACCATGGCATCTTGAATTCAAATGAATAAACCCTGGATTTATTTACAAGGAGAGCATTGCAAGATTTTTGTTTTTGCTTTTTGCTAGCACTTCTTTTCTAACATTCCTCCTCTAGAAAAATAATTCTCTGTGCCAGAGTAGTGCATGACCTGATTCTTTAAATAGAAGGCATCCACAGGATCACTGAACAGTCCCATCAGATGCTCTTACAAACAAGATCCCTTGACGAGAGATTCTTGGGACATAACCATTCCCTGAATACAATGGTTTGAAAGCAAGATAGGGGTAAGACTGGTTATTGACTACACAAGAATCTCTCAGGTTCTCTTTGAAACAGCCTGGAATTTCCATGCCACTCATTTGTATGGATGTTTTACATTGATAGGTGTTTATAAACTAAATTCCAAAGGGAAGCACTTAACCACAAACAAAACCCAGCAAACTCTGATTTTAATGGTGGAGAAATATAACTGTCAAAATTATGAAAAGGGAAGAGAAAATGTTGTGCATCCTCTCATTTACCTTCTTATTTACCTTTTATCTGCTAAAAGGATGAGAAAAAGACTTAGTGGTATTGAGAGGCAACAATTAAACTTTTTTAAATTAATGCAATTTATTTCTACAGGATAATACTGAAGCAAATAGTTTAGCGGCATTAAAAAATGAATTTGATTTAGTGAATGGGAAGAGTATCTGTAGTTATTTTAGCTGGGGATAAAACAATTAAAAGCTTTATGCTTGCATGTTTCAGTAATAAAATTTAAATGCTAAGCTGGAGAAAACTCTCCCTTTTATTCTGGTTTGTTAAGAGTAAATATACACACACAAACAAATAGCACAGCTTTTTTTTTTCCACGTTCAGAAATCAAATTAAATAATCTATGAATATCCTCCCATCTAGGAATCCAAGGGGTCCTATCCTGATGAAAATCTTATGACTATTCCTTAAACTACTGTAGTGCAACACAAAGAAAAGAATTATGGGCACTTTAAACCTGGGTAGTATTCATCAAATGGCAACCCAAGGGTGAAAGGTCCTATATCCCATTTCCAATCCTCTGAATTACCTACCCAAGTAATGTATTTTTCTCTTTAAAATGTCTTAAAAGATATAAGATGTCACTGTACTTACAGGGTTTTGAGATTTTATTTTTAAGAACCAAAAGAAATTTGCTCTGTGAGCAGGTTTTTAAATTTGGCTTGAGGCCTCCAGTTCAGGGAACAAGCAATCTCCTTCCAACTCTCCCTTCTACTGGAGAAATGTCCCCTTTCAACCTGTGCCTTTTGGTCCAATCAATGAACTCAAGACCCAATATACCATGTCTTAAAAATCCATTTAGAAAACAACCACTCCATTCAGAGTTCATCTCCTTCCTTTATCAGAAATTGCTGGAAATGTAATTTTGCAGCAAGCATTTCATTTCTTGAATTGAAATAGATTGAGATAAATGTGAAGTCAATGATTAGATAAATGTAATGTCTTGGGTTGATGCCACAATGCAATATTCAATGTTGTGGTCAGTACTGATGGATGTTTTGTATAGTTACTCAGCTGTATAATGGGACAAATTCCCATGACTCTATTTAAAATACCATGTGGCTCTTCTCAATTAATATTACCAAAAGTACTTTGGCACGAATACAAAAAGCATGAGGGATTAGTGCTGAGCATGCAAGTGCAGTCATCTTTGCTCTGTACAGAGATTCCCCTTTATACAATAAACTGTATCTACATTTATTTACTGAGCTGCATTGCATGCAGTAAATAACACAACAGAGATTATTCCTACTTCAGAAATCACTTCCATGAGGTTATAAATAGAAACCCTGTGCTAAGTAATCTCCTACAGTACAGTTAAGGGTTAAACCCCTATGGGGTTAACATACATACACTGGTGCATGCACAAGCACTACAGCCATAGAACACATTGTTTATGAAAGTCTCTTTATTGTAACAGCAGTCCCTGCTATCAAGGTGCATATCATTCAGTATAAAAGAGGGGGACAGGAAAGAAAGGACTTTCCTCAAGAAGGAATAAAAAACCAGAATATTGGTAGTGCCTTTAGAAATATTTTTTGGAAATGAAGAGGCTAAATTTTCTGGTCTACTGGTACCCAGACTGCATAACATAGGAATGAATCAAATGATACAATGATAAATACCTTTTTTTCAAGTTCTGCTTCCTGTGATTGCTCTTCTTCGGTGGTTATATTTCACTGTTACATAGAAATCTATGATTATCAGGGATGATATCCAGCCTATCAAGTGCTTCAGTGATCAAAATTATACATTTCCATCCACAATCTACCTTTTTAAGAAATTAAGATGTTTTAATATTTTCTAAAGATCTAACACTTTAATAAATGTCAATACACCAACATTTTACTTTCTAGTGTCCTTAGGTCCAGCACAGGGTAGTGATTTAGAAAGATTTGTTGTCTCTCCTATTGAAGAAATACATGATCACTATCTGCAACACTTAAAATAATTTTTGATTGATTAATACAAACACTAATAACTAAAAAATAATCAAACTCCTAAATTAGTACTTGCTTCGGCAGCACATATACTAAAATTGGAATGATACAGAGATTAGTGTGTTCCCTGCACAAGGATGACATGTCAATTCATGAAGCATTCTACACACACAAAAACAATTATACACCTTCTTCCACATCATGAAAAACAAAATCTTGATGCATTTTTAGAGGTAAATGCTTATGCCTGTAACTTGTAAATATAGACGTGTTTTTAAATGTTTGTAATATTCTAATTTTTAAATCATTCTTTGTAATTAACTTTTTAAAACATTCCCCTTCAGAAATATTTTAGATTTTTCTATTTCTGGAATTCTATAATCATACAATCCTGTATCTTGGTGTGTTTTCTTTTTTCCTCCTGAAACATTTTCTCCCTATTTGTGGCGTTATAAAATTGCATGATAATGGTATGTATACTTTGGTTAGGGCCATTTTAATTCATTGGGCTTAGTGCATGACTTTTCACTATGGAGTCATGTATTTTCCCTTCAAGGGACTCCCATGAATTATTTCTTTGTTAACTTTCCCCACCCCATTTTCTCTGATATTCTAGAACTTCTATTAGAAGATATTTAAACATATAGATCATTTCTTCACTATTTTCCACTTCTTTACCTTTTGTTCCTGTTTTTTAGATTTCCTCTATCTTCCAAGCTTTCTACATTTTTTTTTCAAATAATGTCTAAGCCTTTTGTTTTGGATGCAATAAACAAAAACTTCTTTTCTTGTTGAGGATATGAGTTGGAGGTTTGTTGTTTATTTTTTTCTCTTTCTTGCATTCCCCCCGTTTCTTCTGACCTTTTTGATTTATTTGTTTTATCCTTTGTTTTTCTTGTTGGAGGCTTCACTAAGGGTGGCAGTCAGGCAAGTTTCAATTGCTAAAGCACTCTCACAGGACCCACAATTAAAATACTTAGGAATCTACAAGTTATAGCAAGAAGAGAATACAAAACAGCAGTGGCATCTCAAAGGCTCACAGCACACAACAGGACAAGCCAGGCGCGACCTCCGTCGGTAGGACAGCAGTGGATCTACTTCCTCAAATCAGAAACCACCAAGGTAGGCCCAGAACACCTGAAGACCAGGGGACTAACGTAGGTATATTCCCGTGAAGTAACCTGCCCCAACGGCTCAACCGCCGAGGGCCTCGCTTACACCAGGTGTAAACCATCGTCTCATTGTTCTCAATCAACAGCGCTCACAAGCCCGTACGTCATGGCCCCTCGGTTGAAAAGCAACCCAATCAGCACAATTCATGCCTTGACTAGGAGTCAACACTGTCTTGGCACATCTCTTACTTCAAACAGCTCCAAACATGCCAGAATTAACGTTCACAGCAGAGGCTTTCCTTAACGGAAAGTATGCAACCAAAATACTGACTGAAATTCTGCATACACGCGCATGGCTCACCTCCAAATCCTGACAGGCACTTTCAGTGGAGAATACCAAGTGGAAATTTGAGGAATTGTCATCCGAGGTTATTCATACTCTCCAGAGAAGGTTCTGGTCCGAAAGAAGCCACAAGTGGCTCGAGGTTGGGCTCCAGGGAGAGAGCAGGGTCGGGAGCGGAGCCTCGAGATGCCGCCCGCCGCGCGCCCCGGAGCCGCTCCTCAGAGTCTCACAGCCCGGCCGCCCCGTGCGGCTGCGCAGTTCGCCCCTCGCGCTCGGCGGAGCTCTGTATTGGCAATGGCTGGGGGAAACTTTTCAGTTACTGCTTCTGATACGTGACTGAGTGAAGGCTTTTCAACCTGACGCGGCCCCAAATGTTACGAATTAACAAAACAGTCCTTGAATGCAGCATTTTTCATAGAGAATGTTTCACTGACAAAGACTACTGAAGCAAGACTAAAGATGTATAAGCAATCTAATATGAAGGCCATGACTGGGGCCAAAGCTGCAATGCTGTTTACAATCCTCAACTTAAGATGCTTCTTTTTATACTGTGTTTACATCATCAGGGTGGAGGGAGTGAAGGGAGCCATCTATAGTTCTGACCAGGTGGGGTTCCCAACCCTGGGATTTTCCTGGGTGAAATTCAAAACTGGTGCATGTTAGGTGGAAGGCAAGGAGAGGCTGGAGAAAGGTGGGCCACTTTTGATTGGTAGATGGTAGGGTTTTTTTAATTGTATTTTTTTATTTAAGTGTAGTTGATTTACAGTGTTAGTTTCAGGTGTACAACAAAGCAATTCAGTTATACATATACATATATATACATATATTTTCAAATTCTTTTCCATTATAGCTTATTACAAGACATTGAATATAGTTTCCTGTGCTATACACTATGTCCTTGTTGTTTATCTATTTTATATATAGTAGTGTGTATCTGTTAGTCCCAAACTCCTAATTTATCCCTCCCCCACCTTCCCCTTTGGTAACCATAGTTTGTTTTCTGTCTGTTCTCTGATTTGTTATCTTTTTTCATATTCCACATTTTAATAAGCAAGGGAAATTACAAAGCTTGTCTTGGATGGCTGCAAGATCTCTGCATTTGCCCACCAGAATCTTAAAAGAGTTTATGTACAGGTCTTAACAGGGTTCAGTCTTCTATACAGTCCAGATGCTCTCAATAACAACAGTACTCTTTCAAGGTTGTGTCCTTCAAGTAGTTCCTAGTGCAGTAATAGTATATGGAATGTACATTCCAAGAACAGGGGACGGGGTAAGGAGCCTCTGATTGCCTAGGTCCAGCCAGAAGGTCAACCACCTGTTGGTCATGTTTCTTGATGACCTCCTCCAACACCCCACACCTGGTGACCAGCTCTTAAAGCTTACATGCCCCCCTTCCATAATGTGCCCTGAGCAGTCAGAAGGCTTTATTAGCATGAAGGTGGCTCATTTGGCTCATCACAGCAACAATACAGGCACATGCAACAGAAAGCCCAGATTAAGATAATAATTCCCAAATAAGTAATAATTTTTTCCACCCCATGATCTGAACCACTGATTTATTAAGTCCCTGAGGCTAGGGCTCAGTTCTCTCGGGCCTTTCACTTGTGTTCTTAGGTGATTTAATACAGATAATACAATAGTAGACTTATCAAGTATGAACACACAACACTCTGTTTGGATAATGGCACACGTGCCCCCTTGGGAGACAGTAATAATGTCCAAGTCCATCCTATTTTGGAGGACAAATTTTCTCATTAGAGACATTTCAGTGTTCAGTAAGAACAGGCTTTGCCAGCTATCATGTATGGCTTGCTAGGTGAATTAGGAGGGCTTGTATGAGTGCTATTAATGTCTTTTAGGCCAATGGAGATACAAAGATGTGGCCAAATCATCACTCCACCAGAAAAAAGAAATGCCCAGCTGGCCTTGAGGAGATGGCAGTTAGCAACTTTTGTTACTATGGGGCAAGTGCTGGTGCCCAGGGAAAACCCAGGGTGCAGCAGCCCAAAGATTTGTGCCACACAACCAATGGGTCCCATTTGGGACTACCACCTAAATACGTGGGCACTGCAACCAGTCAGTGCCAAACCAGTCACTATCCTTTAATGTGAGAGAAGGACTACACAGTTCTGGTGATGTCCATCTCAGATCCCTGGTACAATTGCATTGGTTCAGTTTAGAGTAATTTTTGTGTTCCCAACATAGGGTGCCCAGTGTTCTAATGTCCATAATCCAGGGTAAGACACATGAATCTAGCCCAAATCTGAGTGTAGCCGCCCATGGCTCCGATGGGGTATTTTCAGGACCTTTTGGTCAGCAGTTTGATGGGCTGCCTGTGTAGTTTGATTGACAGAAAAAGGATACCCATGCCTAGCATTACTGATATAGCATGTGACAGGCCAGCCTTCTGGATCAGTATTGGTAACATCAGATGAATTAAGAGTACTAGTCCTAGCTTATTCTTCCATAATTTACTACTTTAGTACTTCTAATCCCCTTCCTAGAGTGGTGATACCTACCATGGCAATCCTGATGAGCTAGACAGGCAGCTGCCCACATATCCAACAGCTGGATTGATTCCTTTTACAGGGTTACTATGAGTAAGTCCACTGTAGAAAGGTTATTATCATCAGGATAATATCTACCACAGGAGCAGAGGAAGTCTAAGGCTGAAAAGATAGATATTTAGTAGGGTAGGTCTTTCCCTTCTGTATGAATTACATTTGTGGTCCAACTCTTAGATGTTAATGTGGTGGCAGCTTGAGGAATCTGACCTGCTTGTGCATATCATCCATGTTGGTGGAGGGAAACCGCACTGCCAGGCGTAGAGATGGACTGGGGGTGGGATATATCAGACCAGGACCCTCACCTGCTATCCTCTTTCAATGGTGTATGTTCCATTCCAGGTATAATGCATTTCAAGAGGTCCAGTTTGCAGCAGGACAATGAAATTTAAGTGGAGACTGAGTAGTCCCCCCTCATCTAAGGGTATAAATATAACTCATCCATCCTGGTGGGAGGTTTCATTGCAAGTTCCAGTAGATAACCCTTCCCCGTTGTGATGGAGCTGAATGTTCTCACATCCATGGTGAAAGCTGGGGCAATGGCCATCTCTCAAGACTTCCACACCTTTATGGTGTTGGGTGTAAGGGTCCTGGCCTGGCATATGGGGCAACTGGTTGTATCGGTTGATCATTCAAATACATTAAAGCCTGGGATGGTACTTTAGTCCACCTGGCCAAGGTAGATTTACTTGTTCGTAATTTAATCTGCTGTTTTAACAGTCCATTCCTTTCTATCAACCCTGCTGCGTACAGTTACAGAGGAAATGGAATTTCCATTCAATGTCATGTTCTTTCGCCCAGTCCTGTGTATTATGATCTTTGAAATATGATCTCCAATCACTGTCTGTTCAGTGAGGGTCTGTACACGGTACTCAGCTTCTCTAATCCCCTAATGGTGGCAGCCTGATCTGCATTGTGATGGGGAAAATTTGGGTTAGGCCAGAGGCAGTGTTCACACAAGCCAAGGCATATTTAAAACCTTCACTCAAAACGAGGGGACCAATATAATCGATTTGCTCATCTCTCACTGGTGAGGAACTCTGGTGGATGGCCCCAAAACTCCTTTGGAATTTGCCTTGGGCATTGTTTAGAACAAGAAAACATGCTATTACTGCATTAATGAAGGAACTGTATTTCAAGGGCAATAGGGCATCCTTGGCAATACACCATCTCACCCAGGTGTTATGGTGGCCACTTCCAAGGCACCCGATCTGCTGTATCTACTGAAGGGTTGGTTGCTAGGCTTATATCAAGGCTAGGACATTAACTTCCTGATTGCCAGGAAGTGTCAGTGCCTTATGAGCTGGGAGGTGGAAGAGAGTGAGGCCTCAAGCTCTAGCAGGCAAACCCAAATGTCTTTCCAAATATCCTGACCACACAAGGGCTCACTCGCACCTCAGGTGATCATCCACACCTTGGCTTACCACTGTCTCAGCCATAAGGTTAACCCATTTAGAGCAGCCATCTATCTTAATGGCCAAGGCTCATGGGTGATCACCAGCTAAACTGCTCTGAGTTCAGCCCAATGGCTGTTACAATTCATTTCTGTTTTCATCCAGAAGGTGTCAATGTTGGGCTGAATAGTGACTGCAGACCATGTAGTGGGTTGCCCTGGCTAGACCCCTCTGTATAGCAGGAATGGGTGGGAATTTCCCCCATTCCCTCTCTACAGGCCACAGAGGCTGCCATAGGAATAGGGGTGGGGGTATTTGAAGAATATGCGTACTCTACAGGGCCTGGTAGAACCTGCGTTTCTATAGACAGTGGAACCTGCAGACAGGTGCTGCAAGTAGGCATGCTACCTAGTCCAAATAGGAATTTGAGCCATGGCTGAGGTGGCTTAATGGAACATATTCTCCATCCACCCCTTGATAGGAAGTGAAGTTCTTACCAAGATGTGCTGTTCCTTCACGAGAGGCTATACCTGGAGGGGTGCTGTGTCACTGCAAGGAGCCCTTGTTCTATGGGAATATGCCAGCATTCTTCCCCCTTGCAGAGTTAGGACCAAAATCCTAGGGGTTCTCTCTCCTTTTGTTATCTCTGCCAAAGTGCCCAATCCATACCTTCCAGGGTCATGGACACATTTAACTCAAGTGGTAGCCCTGCTTGGGAGACGTCCAGAGCTTTCATCTGTTTCACTAGTATTTTTGCTTTCTCAAAGGCAGCTGATTGCTCTGATCCCCTGTGTGCCCTTTCTTTACGGATGGATGCTTTGTGCCACGTAGGAAATAAAAGTCCTCCAAAACCCCCAAATCCCTCAAAGGCTTGAACTTATTTCACATTCTTAGGGTTTGGATAGGCCTGTGCATTGTCAATTACAGCCTCTGGAACAATGCTTTTGTCACTCACCTACATGACTCCCAAAAACTTTACAGCAGTGCCTGGTCCTTCAACTTTCAGCAGTTCAGTATCCATCTTCTCTTCACAGATGTTCCAGCAAAATCTGCAGTGTCCTGCAGCAGAGGCAAGTCTTCACCTGTAAACATTATATCATCAATATAATGGGCCCATTTTACTGACTTGGGGAAGGCGGACAGAGACAGGTCTCGGGCTAGTATTCCATGACATATGGTGCTGTGTAGGTAGCCTTGGGGAGGCACTTGAAAGATCCATCGTTACCCCTCCCACATGACAAACATGGCAAACTGACTTTGCGATCCAGTAGTCAGGGGTATACAGAAGCAGCATTTGCTAAGTCCAATATAGCATGGTGCACTCCTGGGACCATGGCCAAGGTATCTAAGATGGTGGCAATACTGGGCACAGTTGCAGCAATGGAGGGTGCTATCACGTTCAATGATCGGTAGTCTACAACCATCTGCCAAGAGCCATCTGGCTTTTATACTGGCTATACTGGGATGCTGAAGCACTATGGATGGTGGCACTGGGGGCGAAAAGGGGGTACAATACCCAGTTGGTACAGTTCTTGAATAGTTCTTCCTATTTCTTTATTTCTCTCCAACAATTTATATTATTTAACCATTAATCACTCTTCTAGGGGCCTGTAGACTTACTGGTTCCCAGTTGGTATTTCCCCTCAGCACTGGTTTGATTACTCTAACCAGGTGGTGGGATTCACTGATAGAGGTTTGCAGAGTTTGGCCTTGTAGTATATCAATACCCAGTTTGTTCTCTAGTGAGATATAAATGTCATATTCTATGGAGGGTTAAGTGCCCCATTTGCAGTATCGAAGTGACCTTCCTGACCATAACCTTGCCCTCCATAACCACTGATGGTGATGAGGGGGCCAGAAATATTTCATTGCAGGAATGAAAAGTAAAACTCTAATGAGATACTGCTACACAACCAACTTAGTACAAATTAAGAAGCAATACAATATCAAGTATAGGGTAAGGACGTGGAATATTAGGGATACTCATACCCCGTAGGTGATAAAGTTACTTTGGAAAGCAGTATAGACATTTCTAGTAATGTTGAAAGTACATATACCAAAAGTGTGTTTATGCACACATGATATATAGACATAATGTTCTCAGCAGCATTATTTATGGTGTTGGAAAGATCTAAATCTTTTTTTGTTTGTTTGTTAGAATGAATAAATGAAGTGTTTGCATTCATAAAGTGAATGTAAAACTCTAGTATTGATATGTTATTTTATTCATTTATACATTTGACTGGTTTCAAAAATGAGCTTAGGCAACAAAATGCATGCAAAAAATAAGATGAATAAGAAAGGAATAAAAGCAAAATAAGTAAATATAGGGACAACAGATCTATACAGAAGCCATTACTAACGTGGCTACTGTTCACACACACTATATTAATACCAAAATTCTGAAATTTGTGGAAATTTAGTTTTGTGGCTATCAGATGCTAAGATTTGTGTTCTTATAGCCATGTCTAACTACTTTTCAATGTAATCACTTGGAAAAGTGCAATTAATATTTGAGAGAGGCAAAAATTTTCCACATTTTCTTGAAACCAAAAGACTTTCACTAAATACATGAGTGTCAGGATTCTAACTCTGTTGTTACTACACTGGATGATACGACGCAGCATCGACATATTGTATATTTCTCCCACTCTCCCAATAGTATTGATATTATCACATACTTTAAAGTAGTATGTGGGAGGTGTGGACATAAACTCTCATTAGAAGCTAATGAAATCTCTGCTTATATGGAGTTCTACTCTGTATGTATTAATGTTAAAAATTATCTCTGGATTTGGGAGAGCATATATAAGGTCTCAGCATAGCCATAGCCTGTGTCCATTGTTATGAGCGTGATTTAATTACGTAGCTAAAACAGCATGTCAGCAGCCTACGAGCATTTTAAAAGAAAGCAATTTGTTTTTCTCTCAGTAACGTTTCTATGAATTTTAGATGAAAATGGCACTAAAATGATCTATGCCTAATGCTTCCTTTTGTCAAAGAAAAGGTGATTTTCCTTCTTTCTACTCCTGATAACCTTTCCATTGGGCTTTATTTTCTCCAGCCTTCCCTCTGAGATCTTGCCCAGTTAATTTTACCCTCTCTTTTTGATAACTGCAATCTCTTTTGGCTTCCCTGGCTAAAAAACACGCCAAATTCTCCTGTTAAAATCAAAACCAAAAATGAAACAAAACAAACAAAACACTCCCTTGATTCTTAATCTGCCGTCTTGTGTACTTATTTCTTTCTATTCCAATTGCCTAAATGCTCACTGACTCTCAAATAAATTCTGAGTTCTTCCACTCTCTGCTTTATTCTAAGTATGTTTTTGCTAGAGTAACCAAGGATTTCTTAATTTCCCAGAAGAGTAACCTCACTTTTTCCCTTATTGTAATATTCCTCATTCTAACATTAGTCCCTAGTAATGCTTCATACTTCTCAAATTCTCTCCTAGACTTCTATCATAACATTCTTTTTTGGCTGTTTCTTACCATTTTGACCTTTTTTCCCCTCTTCCTCTCCAGCACACACCCCCCTTCAAAGATGGTACTCTCTTGGGGGTCTGCTTATATAGCCCTCAGGTTTTCTTCTCCTTCTATACTTTTCCCAAAGTGATTTCTCTCCATCCCCATAATTCACTCCATGGTCTCTAAACTATTAACTCCCAAGTCTAAATTATCTCCACTCATTTTCTTGGACTAAAGGCTAGCATTTAGCATTGCATGCCAGTGTCACGCTGACACATTAAATACATGCCCAAATCAACCGTTTCTTTTTCCTCGAAACACCCATTTTTCTATCGTTTGTGCATTGTTAAAAATTCTGTGTTCCAAAGGAAAATCATAGATTATTTCTAGTTTGCTTTTCTAATTCCCTCCTCTTCCCCTGACATACACAAACTTTTTATTACCAGGACTTGAAATTTCTACCTTCAAAATTTCTACCTTCAAATATTTCTACCAGTAAATATTATATTTGTGCATTATATTCAAAATTCTCAAAACAGTAAATGGCTCATGCTAGACTCACTCTCAATAAATTATTTCGAGTAAATAAGTGAAATATTACATTTTTCCCCAAAACCAACTGCCGCTGCTTAAACTCAGGCCTTCAGAACCTCTTCCCTATACATCATCATAAACCTTCTCACTGTTCTTTTTGTCCTCATCCTAGTCAATATTCTGTCAAGACTATTTTTCCCATATAAGTGTGACATTATATTCATATTCATTCATATTCTCCTTATGGGAAGAGTTTTTCCAAATCCTAAGGTCTTATGGATAAAAACTTAACCTACAACTTGATCTGCCATAGAGATTCTTTCAGATCTTGACCTACCTTCATTCCTGTCATGTTTGGCCTCTGCCCACCACACTTCTGTCATCCTCACCTAGCTCTGTGCCCAGAGAAGTGAAATTAACTCAGTTCCCTGACAAGCTGTCATTGTAGCTATAGTTATAGAACTACAGGTCTGTAGACCTCCTCCAATATTCTTCCTCTCTTCCCAGCCTTACAAACTGCTATTTATCTCTGACATCTACCTACATTGACAACAAATGGAGTATCTTTTTGGATCCCTCCAAGCAGAGTTAGTAACTCCTTTCCGGTAAATTCCCAAAGCCCTTTTCTCTTTTCAATATTGTATCATTTGTCATTTTGTGGCAGAATTATCTAATTATACATATGTCTTTCATACAAAAAGACTCTCCTAAAAATAAATCTCAAGTTTTTAGTCCCTGTTACATTGCCAGGCAGCATTACTGAAGGCACTTAATACATGCTTGTGGAATAAATTGTACATTAAACATTTTCTTCACCATGTTTTAACCCATTTTCGAGACTTCTATACAGTATTTTCAAGTGCATGATGTAAACCATGTTGATATTGGCTCATATATACAAATCACGGCAATGTATGTTAACATAGTCCTTGATTTCTAAAATTTTCAAAAATTGAGGGGAGAGTATTGCTCAGTGGTAGAGTGCATAATTAGCATGCACAAGGTCCTGGGTTCTTTCTCAGTATCTCCATTATAAAAAAAAAACAAATAATTAAATAAATAAATAAACCTAATTACCTCCCCAAAATAAATTTTTAAAAATACAGAAAATTAGATTTTACAAAAGGAAGAAGTACTGACAAGAAAAGCAATATTTCTGTATTTTCCCAATTTTAAATACATATCATGTTGAAGTTTTTATTAACAAACTGTACTTTTAAAATTGGTTGCATTGCTATTTTTTCCAAGCAAGTGGTATTGAACTTAAAGTACCGATGTTCCTCAAAGCTCTAAAACGTCTACAATGTAGAGTCCAGCAATGTAGATTTCTATAAATGGCTAACGTATCCTATCATTGTTTCATGAGTTAGAACTCAGAATAAAGTAAAATTTCTCATAGTATGTTAGGGCTTGGAGGCTCTAGATATGTATGTATATATGAAGAAACTAAGTCAACAAGATGTTTCCTCATGTCAATAACAATATGTGGAGCCAGGTATGTTTTCTAGGTCATCCAAAGCTGTCTTAATATGATGCCAAGAGAGTTCCCTGTTTCAGACCCACAACTAATATTCTGAGGTCTGAGACCAAAGTACAAATCAGGATGCACATTCCAAATGTTTAACGTGTAAATCCAGATATACTCATGACTCAGCTGGCATTCCTACCAAGGGCTCCCAGCCCATTCGGCATGAATTCCACTCCAATCCAGACCATCTGCTTTTCCCCAAGGCTAGGGATTTTACAGAGCAGCCCTGGGTAGGGCACTGTATAAAGTGATGCTGGGCCCAGAATTCTTGGACAGTGACTGTACCCAGCCCCATTCCAGATGTTGGTGAGCTTGGTCAAGCTTCCCAATGAGTCAGGGTGACCTAGGTCCCCTCCACCTGCTTCACTTCTCCAACTCAGAATTTCCAAGGCAGTTTTAAGTGCGTCTCTAAACTGCCTCAAACAAGGGGAAGTAGCACAGACCTGGGAAACACTGTGGGTTTCTTTGGGTAGCCAACTTTTTACAAACGCATCCACCCTTTCATGGGTTTCCCAGGGCAGAAGCTTAAATTTGCTCCTTTCCCTTCACTTGC